GATGGCTGAAATTGATCCTCACATAGTGTCCTCATTTAGGAGTCCTCGTTAGAGCCCAGCCATTCTTTATATTGAGCTTACATACTAAGGCATTATAAAAAAAGGTATCATATTTAGTGATATCATCTCCTATTATATTTAGGTTCTGTAACTGATCTATTATTCTATTTAAATCCTCCTCTCTATCTATAAAGGATCTGTCAACTATCTTATATAATCTTTGACATGATATAGTTTCATAATCAGTAAAGGTATCTTCTAAATTTAATTCTTCATCTATCTCGAAATCCTCTATATCTGAATCTAGATCATCGTTATCTACTATTGTTTTTATCTTACAACTACCTCGAATTTCACAAGCACATCCTTGATATTCTATTTGGTTTTTAATTGGTATATTCCCACCACGCTTCTCCTCTGCTAACTCTGACAATTTAGTAGGTATATTCTCAGTAACTAAAGGTGTATAATAGCTATTTTTGCTAAATAATAACCAATCTTTGGTAATACGTAAACTACCGTTATTAGCAAATATAATTTAATCCAATAATACAATCTATATCAGGCATATCTTTGATAAATGTATGATAAACAGGTAATGCATAAGGTTGACTTTATGTATCACAATTTGTTTTAAAACTTATGATTTTAGCACCCGCTACTAGCGTCTTACTACTCTTGACTAATTGTCCATCTACCGTAGTTGCTGCCATTATCTTAGGGGCAGTAGTAATTAAATTCTTGGGTACTAATTTTTCGGCTATAAGCGTAACTGAACTTCCTGTATCTACCATGGCTAATCCTTCTAATTGCCAATTTTGTAAAGTTAACCTATATGAAACAATTAAAGACTGTATCCTATATGGCAAATGGATGTTAGGGATATGAGTGTCTTCCCAGATGAATCATTTGAAGGTGTCATTGATAAAGGTATGTATCATTTCTTTGTTTTAGTCATTTTAGAATACACAATAAAACTGTGTTGCTGTCACCACTTTTTGCACCTGTGGTCTGTCAAAGGAACTCTTGATTCACTGATGGTATGATGTCTGTTGTGATGTTCTTATGACTCCTCTTAGTCATTACTTAAACACACTCTAATTCTCTTATTTGTTCTTATATTTCTAGTGTGGCAATGATGCTCCAATTAGTGCTGCTCTAATGCTAGGGGAAGTGAGTAGGATGAGGCTTTATATTTTACATTGTTCTTTCTTTTATTGAAATCTCAAAATACATAATCTGTTCTTAAATTGCCACATAGCAGATAACCTATGGTGAAGAAAACAGGAACTCACACGGTTTCTTTGACACGTTTACTTTTCTGTTCGTACGCGAAGATGGTATCAAAACAGACTCATCATAGAGCTGCCGTCCATCAATATATTATTTTTAAAGCTTTATTTTGTTGGGATTATGATGCGTTTATGCTAAGCATTGATCGTTTCCTTATTGTATTTTTCCTTTGTCTTTTGCTTTATATATATATATATATATAATATGTTGGAAAATATTAATAATTATGTGCTGTTTACTTAGGACCGATATGTAATTTTATGTTTTAATAATATAAAACATATAGATAATCTCTAAATAACTCTAGTCATATACAGATGAGTTTCACAGAAATGGTGAGAAACTGTTTATGGCATCTAAGAAACTAAAACTGATACATCAAATTTTTTATAAAGAGAAAAAAAAAAAAAGCATGCTATTGCATTTCACTACTACAAAAAGTGAAAAAGACGACCAGAAAAAGACGACGGCGGAACATAAAACCGTCGTTGTATTTAAACCGACGATGGTATTAAAAAAAACCGTCGTGGATAAGTGCCTTACTGTTGAATATTTTTAAAAGACGGCGCATAAAAATAAAAAAGCGTCGTGTTTTAAAAAGGATTTCTTCAGAGTTAAAATCTGACCAAAAAACAACGACAGCAGGTATGAATCCACCGACGTAGAAAATAAAGACAACAGTTCACCAAAAACCTGCCGTGTTAACTCCTAACTAAACACGACCAACTGTTCTTAATCCGCGTCGTATAATATAATGGAATCCACGTCTGTATACTACGACGGTGCATTCTCTGTAAACCGCCGACTTATTATTTTGGAGTATACTACGACGGTACCTACAACACTACTGTCGTTTTTATTTACCACGTCCTAAGTTCAAATTACCGTCGTATTTTTTCAATTTATACGTCTGCCTTCTCTGTAAACCGCCGTCTTATTTTTATAACTTTTTAAAATTAATTAATTTTTCTTTTATTTTAGTAATATCTTTCTTAACACAAAACAAAATTTAATTCTCAATCTTCAACAACATTTTCATCTTAAAAGGCAAATCTCTTCTTGTTAAATATTGATCAATATTTACACAATATATGTACACAAATTTGGCAAATACATCGTGGTTTCTTTTCTGCCTTCACCCTCAGCTTGTTCAACTGTTTCTTCCTCTCATATGCAAGCTGGGCCCTCTCCTTCCTCTTGTTCTCAAGCTCCTGCACAGCC